ACATGTTGCCAGAAGGGGTTTCCAAAGCAGTTGTGGTGATTTGCCATGGTTGTTCCATCCTCACCAACACTTGATATTATCTGCCTTTCTTAGTTTACCCATTCAGGTGGGTATACAGTGGGATCACATTATGGTTTTCATGTGCAGAGGTGACTCATGCCACATAGGAGCAGGACCTTTCTTGACAGTACTCAGGCCTCCATTCTCTCGATGACTCCAGAGGCAGTCTGTTCCATCAGCCTGGTCCTAGCATGAAGAAAACCCAACGCAGAGCAATGGCAGACTCTCGGTGGTAATGGCGTGTGAGTGGTCAATCTTTGTTGTCATCAACCACTAAGAGTCTGGGGCCATTTGTTTTTGCAGTTAACTTAGTCTATTGTGAGTGATGTGGTGTCCATTTTTTTTCCACATGCACAGAAACCATCATGATTAACAACTATGGCAGTATGAATATCGAATAGTTGGAATAAATGCCACAAATTATCCTTTAGTTGTTGGATCCTGGGGATACAGTCCCTAGGAAGAAGCTGCAGTGACCAGGATTGGGAGGAAGAGGAACTGAGTGGTACCGATGTATTCTAGAGGGTACTGAGGTATTTCAGTACAACTGTGCCCGTGCTTCCCAGCTGAATAGCGGATCTAAATAAGGTCATTTCTCAACTAATCTCTTTAGTATGTGATTTCTCAGCACAAGACTTTCACTTCAGATATGTATTGGCCAGAGTTTCTTTTTCTTTACAACATTCAGTTCCTCGGCCTTGAGTGTTTTGGTACTGCCATAATAATCATCATTGTCGTCGTGGTCTCATTCTACTATTATTGTTATTGATTTAGCCTGATTCCATGGTACATCTCAGTAGCACACTCCTAGGCAGAGGGGAAGAAAGGAAAAAAATCAAATATTCACAGGATTTGGACTGTGATGGGCTACAGATAAATGGGCTGCAGATCAACACAGCATGATGTTAGTGACGCTTGTTGTGGATGTGAGAATTTGTTGATCCGCTACAATTATTAAGCCAACACTTGCTATTAAAGGCATTGGCGGTTGGGTGTGATGTCAAGCCTGTAATCCCAGCACTTTGGGAGGCTGAGGCGAGACGATTGCCTGAGCCTGTGGGTTCGTGACCAGCCTGAGCAACATTGTCTCTACAATAAATCAAAAAATTAGCCAGGCTTGGTAGCACTCACCTGTAGTTCCAGCTACTTGGAAGGCTGAGGCAAAGGATCGCCTGAGCCCAGCAGGTCGACACTGAGGTGGCCATAGGTGTGCCACTGCACTCCAGCCTGGGTGACAAAGTGAGACTCCAACTCAAAAAATAAATAAATAGATAGATAAATAAAGGCATTGACAATCCTAGTCTCTATTTCTATAGAGTTTGCATGTAAGAAATTTAACTCAAAGGAAGAAAGGTGACTGCACGCAACACCTGCCAACCTATGACTAGCCCTCAATTTGAAAAATAAATCCAAGATTCGCTCCACGGACTTACTGCATAGAAACTAAACATTATTCTAAAATATGGCTGAATATCAGAGACTGATGAGCAGTTATGAGCCACAAGTCTAGGCTCCAGTGTTTCTGATGGATGTCCACTCGTGGCAGATGGAAGGTGCTGGAGATGGCAACTAATGTCATGTGAATTTCAACTTCCCTAGGCCTATAGACTGCGCATCAATTGGGCAGGACATGATACCACATCACTGCATATTTTCAAGCCCTGCAACATCATGTAAGCCTAGAGTTTTCAAATACTTCTATTCACAGAAATCCATTAAAAGAAAAGGCCAGTCACAGTAGGTCAAGCCTATAATCCCAGCACTTTAGGAGGCTGAAGCAAGAGGACTGCTTGAGCCCAGGAGTCCAAGACCAGCCTGGGCAACATAGCGAGACCAGTTAAAAAAAACCTAGTGGGACATAGTGGCATGCAACTGTAGTCCCAGCTACTTGCAAAGCTGAGGCAGGAGAATCACCTGAGTTCAGGAATTCGAGGCTGCGGTGAGCCATAATCATGCCACTGCACTCTAACCTAGACCACAGAGTGAGACCCTGACTCAAAAAAAAAAAAAAAAAAAATTCCATAAAGACCATGTCTTAGGCAACTTTGTAGCCCCGCCCCCAGCTCAGAGCCCGACACAAAGGGAGTGCTCAGTGCATGTGTGTTGGAGAAGTGAACAAATAATTCTGAAGATAAACAGACCAACTCATTCATTTATTGGCAGATTCAAAATGCCACACACCGTGATCATTTAACGAACATTCTTTGATAGTTAAAATGGGAGAGTCGTAATAAATGCATATAAGCTAAAGTCATGTAAAATGTTTGAAAAGGCACATTTACATGTTTTCTGTTGACTTATTGCACTCTGGTGATTCTCAGTTACAACATAACTTAAGAAACCTGTGTATTACTAATGTACTGTTACCGCGGCCACTCAGGAACTTGATTTGAATTAGGAAGTCCCTAAAAGGTTGTGGGGTGACCTAAAAAGTTGTCCCAAGCTTCAAGCTCTTCAGTTGCAGGTGTTCCCTCTGAACCTGTCTACTCTTGCTTGGCATATAATTCCAGACGCTTAACTGACAGAACTCCAGGTCCATACCAGAGTAGCAGAAAGAAATAAGAAGAGAGTTCAAGAGGCCCCTGTTTGACCCAGGAGCATGGTGGACTGAGGGCCTGAAATCAAGTAGGTGGAGAATACCTAAAACGGTATCGCAGGTGATGCTGGCAACTGTAGGAAAAACAATACCAAAATCAGTGGCTGGGTATGGTGGTTCACACCTGTAAACCCAGCACTTTAGGAGGCAGAGGCAGGAGGATCACTTGAGGCCAGCCTGGACAACATAAAAAGATTTCATCTCTACAGGAAAAAAAAAAAAAATTAACCAGGCACGGTAGCACATGCCTGTACTACCCGTTACTTGGGAGACTGAGGTGGAGGGATCGCCTGAGCCTAAGGAGTCTGATTGTGCCACTGCACTTCAGCCTGGGCGACAGAGTGAGACTCTGACTCAAAAAAAAAAAAAAATCAGAATCCCATGTAAACTGAGGCGCAAGACTGAAACATTTTAACAGGTGAGTTGAAGTCAGATAACAAGAAGAGAATGCAAAATGTAGAAGATAAAGTTCAGAATCCGATAAGAGGAAGGCCAGGTGTGGGAGCACAACCAGTCCACCCGGCAGGTCTCCTTGCTCAGGCCAACCACCATGACAGAGCAGCCTTGGGTCTGCCTCGCCAGCATCTGTTTCCCACAAGGAGGTATCTTCCTCCACTCCCCAATTCTCTCTATTTGGTTCTAAAGCAGAGGCAACACCCATAGGGAAATAATTCATTCAATAAATTTCCACTGTGCACCTACTATACCCCAGGCACAATGTCAGGGGGAGCAGATACACTAATGAATACAACCGATTCTGCCTGCAAGGAACTTAGATTCTAAGTGGAGAAATGCCATCAACAAGCAGCTATACACATCCTCACAGAGAGCACTGCTGGGAAAGAAACGCACAGGAGGCAGGGGTGGAGAACAAGAAGGCTGACTGCCTTCGATGGAGCTGCCACAGAAGGCCCCTCTCTAGAGATGTTGAGCTAAAATGTATTCAAGTTTAATCATCTGGCTGGGCACCGTGGCTCATGCCTGTAATTCCAGCACTTTGGGAGGCCGAGGCGGGGGAGGATTTCTTGAGCCCACGAGTTCGAGACCAGCCTGGCAACACAATGAGATCTCGTCTCTACAAAAAAAATGAAATAAATAAATAAATTAGCTGGGCATGGTGGTGCACACCTATAGTTCCAGCTATTTGAGAGGCTGAAGCAGGACTGCTTGAGCCCAGGGAGTTGAGGCTGCGGTGAGTTGTCATCATGCCACTGCACTTCAGTCTGGGGGATACAGTGAGACCCCGACTCAAAAAAAAGTTTAATCATCTAAAGACCACTAAGGATAAATCTATAGTCTGAACATCGGAACTGACTCATGGCAAGGCAGAATGGGAGAGAGTAGGGAAGTGTTTTGGGTTAGCTTCCCTCTGAAGGGCTCTAATAAGATGCTGACTGATAGGTTACAGTCGGTCAGTCATAATCCAGGTGAGAGATACCATCTTGGAACAGGAGAATGTGGGGGTAGAAATCACAAGGGCTGCTGATGAATTGAATGTGGGTCCTGAAGTTCAGTCCTATTAAGTCCCTGGGGCCTCTGTAGTCAGTTTTTCCCTGGGGATGGGAAGTGGGTTCCAGCAGCTGGGTTTTGGAGAGGTAAGAAGTAAGTAATAGCCTGACTTCGAGTGCATGGTATGACCAGAAAAAGCAGAGCCCCACGTGAAAACTCTGAGCCTCGGAGTATGTGCAAACAGGCGAATGAATAAATAAAATACACCCCAGTCCTCCACGGAGAGCAGTCTACCAGAGCCCAGCATAATTACCAATTTCCATAAAGACCTCTGGATACAAGCCAAGTCTGTTTCTATAGTTCATTCTAGTTACGGCAGTCAGGAAGTGTGCTTCATTTTACAAAATTTCCCTCCCAAAATGTTTTTTTTAATGGCGGTTAAAGGAAAATTTCTCATTATATGGAAAACTTAACTTCCCAAGGGGACTGTAAGCTAGCTAAAGTATCCTAATCCTAGATCCCCAAGGGGATTGTAACCAATGTCTCATATGGCGCATTACCTGCAGAAGTCACTTGTGTTACTAGGTGCCCGAGCCTGTTTGGATGTTCAGATTCATCCACACATTACAAGCCCCGATAGGGAGGGGCCGGACTGGCTTTTGTTCATTTGTTTTCAGTTGCTGCAGTTTAGGGAGTTGGCTGGCTAGCGTCACGGGTTCCCATGGAAACCACCACCTCCCCGAAGACTGGAGGAGGGGCCCAAATCCGTCCACCGCCTGGCTGCCCCGCCTTGAAGCAGGCAGCGGGGTGGAGAAGGGCGGGGCTGGCGCGCTGGGCGGGGCCCTGAGGATGGGCGTGGGCGGGGCAGGCGCGCGCAGGCTGTGGGGCGTGACCCGGTAGGGGGCGGGGCGATGCCCGCGTGCGCCTGCGCAGTCCGCTCTACTCGGGGCGGCGGAGGTGAAGCGCCGGAGGAAAGATGGACGATTACCAGGCTGCGGAGGAGGTAACCGCCCGGTCGGCGACGGGGAAGGTGCAGGCCGATGATCCTGGGCGTGATGGACACGCGGTCCTGCCCGGGAAGGCCTGGCTGCCTTCCTCCCCGGTTGGCCGAGCCGCGGTCGTCACCGGCCGGGGACTCACGAGCGCGGCACCTCGCCCAGCGGCAGCCTCTACGGTCACCGCCGCTTTCCCAGCCGGGAGGGGCGGGGAGGCCGGAAGGGAATTCGGGCTTCTTCCTGCGCAGGGCGGCATCCGGGCGTTGCTCGGAGAGAACGCCCGGGATCGCAGCGCTGGGACGCCTTTCCCCGAGGGTCCTGCCGGCCTCGCCCCCGGCCCGGTTGCGCAACCGGCAGCGAAGGACGCCGGGAGGATGACATCACCCCCTGCCCTGGGGTCCGCGGTGCAGACCCCCCGGCCCGAAGCGGTGCCCCACGGCCAGGGGTTGGAAGACGCAAGTCCGGACGTTGTAACATAAGAGTCCAGAGTGACATGCATGTTCCCCTAGTCCCTACAGCCCTAGGTTTGCTCTCCTGGCTGTCCACCCCTTGCAGGAGCGCGCACGGGAGAACCTGTCTTTGTCTCTGGGCCGCACCTTGTTCTCCAGCGCCACGTTGACGACCACCGTGGCCACCGGGAATAAGGATAGCACATTTCGTTTTGGTTTGCGATGTCAGTAAGATAGCTCATTCTTGTGGAGGAAGGAAATGGTTTCTTATTGCCTCCATGGCTAAGTAGAGTAACGTACCCAATCATTTGCCAAGCAGAAGGTACTCGTCGTAAAGGAGGGATAGAGTTGATGGAGGCTGCTCTTATTGAATACGTGCTCATCTTCTTGCTGAATAATCGTTCAGGGTGAAATTCAAATACAGTCCTATAGATTATGCAGCCTGTCAAAAATAAAAACGACAGATACACTTATTAAGATCTACTGTTACTGTTTTTGAAATTAAGTTCAGCAGGAATGTTTTGAGGGAACGTAAAACTGAGACTTAAGGACTGATCCTAGAGTTTCAGTTTTGATCTAATTTCCTAACTAGCACAAACTTTTCTATGACGGTGTCAATAATCAGTGTTAGCATGCTGGTAGCAACCATATGAAGAGTGAAAACACGGTTCAGGAGCAGCTAGCAAAGGAAAAGCTTTTCCTCATAAACTATTACCCAATACAGTATTGGAAAATGGTTTGTTTTATAATAATATTAAGTAAAACTTTTTAAAAAAGGAAATGGGCCGGGCATGGTGGCTCGTGTCTGTAATCCCAGTACTTTGGGAGGCTGAGGCAAGAGGACTGCTTGAGCCCAGGAGTTTGAGACTGGCCTGGCAACATAGTGAGATGCCGTCTCTACAAAAACAATAAATTGCCAGGCGTGGTGGTGTGAGCTTGCAGTCCCAGCTGCTTGAGAGGCTGAGGTATAAGGATCACCTGAGACCTGGAGGTCTAAGCATGGGTGAACCCTGATCGTGCCACTGCACTTCAGCCTGGGCAACAGGGTGAAACTTTGACTCATAATAAATAAATAGGAAATGGCTATGTAAGAGAAAGCCCTTAAGACTGCATTCTGATTCTGGCTTTCACAAATAAGGCAGCTAAGTGATTTCATTATTCTAGATATCAGTTGCATATCTGTAAAATGAAGGGGCTGAACAGAGTGATCTGTTGTATACAGATGGAAGCCCCAGGAGGCTGAGATGGTGACTGTCTCATAGTAGGCATGCCATAGGTATTTACTAAGTTGTCTTCCTTGTCCTCCTGCCAGCCTCTCAGCCCAGCCTTTTCTGCATATCCTGACTTCATGGAGATTTCGGGGCCTTCGTTACTCTAGCTTCAATGCATAATTCATCTTTCTTGCATAGCTGCTGTGCTCCCCACTAAAGGCCCTTTAAAATGTTCCTCAGGCTTTTAAATACTTTAACCACATGGAAAGTTATATACAGACTTTCCTTTATGGTTTCAGATCCCTGTAGTCACTTGGAAGGATCCTTTAAACTTCCAGAAATGATTTAGTCTCTAAGGTACTACAGATTGTCATTAACTTGATGAGTACATTTCGTTTCCAAGTGTGACTTCTGAGTACAGCAAGTGAGTTGATCCTCCTGAAGAGAAAGGGTAGGGCCTGCAGCAGACAGCAGCCAGGCTGGAGAAAAACTCATTGCCAAGTCAGGACTCTTGCCTGTGTCCCACCAGGATGTACATTGATGGAGGGCCCCTGGGGCTGTCCTCTCAAAGACATGTCCAGAGCGAAGCACCTTTCCTGGGACTCAGCAGTAACTTGAAACGCTTGTTCCCATGTAGAGCGCATTGCCAGGATGACCTTGTACTCATTCATATCTACCACATGTGAAAAGGAAGGAAAGAAAACTATACTCCTGGCACTAGAATACTGCAGGTAGCCACCTCCCAAGTCACCCAGATTCACTGATAGAGAACCACTGTGCCAGCAGCTGGTTGCTAGTCCTGAAGTAGGACGGCATTGGGAAAGAAAAATAATTATCCGGAAATAGTGTAATCTTTGTAACATTATGACTGATGGTGACTTCAAAAAAAACCCTCTCAAGTTTCAGGCCTAATCAGTTTACATCACGAAAAGAGAGAATTACATCTTCAAAATAGATTGCTTAAGCAGCTTCAGTTTTTGTTGTTTTTGTTTTTTAAAAAGTTGGAGTCTTACTCTGTTGCCCAGGCTGGAATGCAGTGGCACGCTCACAGCCACCCCAGTATTGACCTACTAGGCTCAGGCAATCCTTCTGCCTCAGCCTTCCAAGTAGCCGGAACTACAGGTGCGCACTACCACACCCGGCTAATTTTTTATTTATTGTAGAGACTAGGTCTTGCCAAGCTGCCTGGGCTGGTCTCAAAACGGCGGGCTCAGGCACTCCACTCCTCTTGACCACCTAAAGTGCTGGGATTACAGACTGAGCCACCGAGTCTAGCCAGCTTCAGTTATTTTATACAAAGGTTATTTGACTCATTAAGCTTCTCTATTGGTTAATGATCCTAGCAGCCAGTTGAAATGGAAGGAGATTGAATTTTCATTTAAAGTAAAGTCTTGGATTGTGGTATAAAAACAAAACAAAACAAAACTTTAAGTTATATACATGTATTCTAGTCCTCTGGTTTCTGAGAACTTGTAATGCCTTCCTTGGTAAAGTGAATAGTCTGGCTATATAATTTTCTAAGGTATTTACTTCTAAATTATGTTCATTACCTAAATTGGCATTTATCAATGCAGTGGAAACAGATCTTTTAAATAAATCAAACTTAACTGAATTTGCTTCCTTTCAGACTGCTTTTGTTGTTGATGAAGTGAGCAACATTGTGAAAGAGGTAAGAAGAAGAACACTTGCTCTTTCAATGTGTGATTAATGGCTTGCATGAGAGAAAATGATGTGTTTTACTATCTTGCAATTGCTCCAACTGAGCTTGTGTGTTATGGTGTTTCAAATAGTGGTTTCATTCAATGAATATCTAGATAAAAATTGCTCGCATATTATATAAATTACATATTATAAATTAAATCAGATAGGGAATTTTATATACAAGGCATTATTACTGAATGTTATCAAAGTTTGAATCTATAACCTTTTTACATAAAAGACTTATGGCGGCCCCAGGTGGTAGCTCACACCTATAATACCAGCAGTTTGGGAGGCTGAGTTGAGAGGATTGCCTGAGCCCTCGGGTTCAAAACCACCCTGGGCAACTTGGCGAGGTCTCATCACTACAATAAATTAAAAAAAAACTTAGCCGGGCTTGGTGATGTGTGCCTGTAGCCCCAGCTACTTGGAAGGCTGATGCAGAAAGAACACCTGAGCCCAGCAGGTTGAGGCTGTGGTGGCCGGGAACATGCCAGTACACTCCAGCCTGGGTGACAGAATGAATCTCCAACTCAAAAAAAAAAAAAAAAAAAAAAAAGACTTATGGCACACAAGTAGATGTTTCCAGTGTTTATTGAAGAGTGAGTATAGGAAAAGCAAACAATCAACTTTGCTATTCAGCACCTGGTGGTCCAATCTGGGGCCTGTTCAGTTATTTTTCTTACATCTCTAAACTACATACTTTATTATTTGTCCCGGTACCTCCCTTAGATTTAGATGATGAAGATGAGGGACAAAAGGGCTATTTGCTCTTCATTTGTTCATTCATTAAAAAATACATATTGAGGGAAGATGTAAGGTTACTGACCCCTCTGGAGTTTAACAGGGTGGGCTGGGGTGCAGCAGACCCTTATCAAATAATCACACTGGAAAATGCCAGCTTGCATCTGCTGTGGCACATGCCACAAGACATACTGCTGTGAGAGCATTTTGTTTTATTTTATTTATTTTATTATTTTATTTTTTGAGTTGGAGTCTTACTCCGTCACCCAGACTGGAGTGCAGTGGCCACTCCCGGCCACCGCAGCCTCGACCTGCTGGGCTCCGGTGATCCTTCCGCCTCAGCCTTCCACGTAGCTGGAACTACAGGCACGCGCTACCACGCCCGGCTAATTTTGATTTATTGTAGTGATGAGGTTTCGCCAAGTTGCCCAGGCGGGTCATGAACCCGCGGGCTCAGGCAATCCACTCACCTCAGCCTCCCAAGGCATGGGATTACAGGCTGAGCCACCAAGCCCGGCTTGTGAGAGCATTTTTAAAGAGACTTTGACTCACCAAGTGAGTCTAGGGACTGACTCTTCAGAGTTGAAATCTGAAGAATTGGTAGGAGTAGGGTTATCACAGTAAAAAGAGGGAATAAACCTTCCTGGTCATGGGCATATACAAAGGCCCAGTGGTGGAGGTGTGCATGATGTGTGTGAGGGACTAAAAGGAGGCGGTATGCCTGGAGTGGCGCTAATAGCCAGGGAGCTATCTCCTAGTCAGTTTCCCTGGCTTCCCTGGGTAAGACCGACCCACTGACTGAAAGAAAGTCATTAGATCATCTGAATTTCATGGTACCGTTTGAAATTATGTATGTCACTTAGAGTGGACTATAGTACAAGTTATTGACTAATGCCAGAGTGAAAACAAAAAACAAAAAAAAACCCCACCTGTTTTTGTGAGCAGTATCCAAAAGCAAAATGTTTGTGTTTGACTATATATAAGTCAGCATCAGGCAAGGTTTTCTGGTTGCTTTGCAGGACCTGTAGCAATTGGCTTTTCATTGTTTTTGTAAATACAGCATTGCTTGTGGAACAGTCGGGAACAGGAAGGTGGGCGAGTGACACCAGAACTGGGAAAAGTGGACTTGATTTGCTGGGAATTCTAGTTTGGCCTCTGTTTCTGTTATCTTTTACTTGGTTACCAGGCAGCAAGTACAGTTGAAAGTACACAGCCGGGCACGGTGGCTCACGCCCATAATCCCAGCACTTTGGGAAGCCTAGGTGAGAGGATTGCCCAAGCCCACAGGTTTGAGACCAGCCCAGGCAACTTGGTGAGACCTCATCTCTACAATAAATCAAAAAGTTAGCCGGGTGTGGTGGCACGTGCCTGTAGTTCCAGCTACATGGAAGGCTAAGGCGGAAGGATCACCTGAGCCCAGCAGGTTGAGGCTGCGGTGGCCGTAAGCGTGCCACTGTACTCCAGCCTGGGCAACATAATGACACTCCAACTCAAAAAAAAAGTACACATTGCCATCCTACATGGAAACATGAAGTGACACTGCAGTGTTACTTTAACTTGTATCACGGCCTCAACAGCTTTTTTGCCCCAGCAGTGGGTTATTCTGTCCTCAACTATAGTCTTGGGTCATAGTGAAATGGCGGAGGGTTTTCCTGCTTCCCTGAAAAACGGTGCATTGCAAAGCATGTGTGGCGAGCTGCCAGAGGTAGAGGTTGAACGAAGCCTCCTCCTTCCACAATGCTCAGGTCTAGTAAACTGCTGTCCCCTTACACCGGAACTGCTGGGCCCCCACATCCCTTGTAGCCTCTGAGGTAGGAGGAAACACAGTACAGAGGACTAAAAGGAAGCAGGATGTCTACGATGTGACCACTGAGCCCAGGAAAGACAGGAAGGTGCATCGGTGGAGATCAGGGTATGACCTAGGGAGGTTTTTGTTCCTCAGAAGCAGAGTCACCAGGCCTGCTCCTCACATGAGACTATCCATCACCACCAGTGCAGCTCAGGTCTCCGGCTGCTGGATGCTGTCTGAAGACAGACCTAGGCCCTCACTGAATGTCTGTAGTTTTACTTTAGGTCATACCAGTTATAAAAACTCTTCCCTGGTTTCCAGGGTAGAGAAGACAACTGCTTCCGTGCAGGCACACTGGCCCCCACGAGAAAGGGGTGTTGCTGGTAAAAGACCCAGAAGGCCACACATGGGAACGTTGCACCATCAGCTTAGTAAGGGCAGTGACAGTGAGCAGGGCACACCATCAGAACCTCCAAAGAATACGGCATAAAGAAGGAAATTTAGAATAAAGAACAACATTTTGTCACAAACTTAAAAAAATAAGTTTTAGAATATAAAATGCTGTTCTTTTTAAAAAAAATTTTATCATAAAGATGTGGGGTACAATTCAGGGTTAGGTATATAAACATTGATCATGCAGGTACCCTGGTTGATGAGGTATGCCCCTCCCTCCCCTAGCAGTCTCCCTCAACTGCCAATCCCACCCCCACCCCCCCCAAATGCTGTTTTTTAGTTGTCTGAAAATGTATATGTAGTAACATGTTCCTAGAAAATGCTGGATAAAAGTATTTTTGAATATGATTATTTGGGTAGGTTTGTACATTGCCAGTTGTACAAATAACCAATGAAAATTCATCTATTATATAGTATAAGGTAGTATATATTAGATAGTATTAGTTAAAAGCATCTAATATGCTTTTAAGAAAGGAATAGACTAAGTAAAATATTTTCTAGCCTCAGTAGGAAATAGTGTGTTGCTTATCTCTAAGTAGTCACAGACACAGTGAACATTAAATCCAATTATTAGATTAAATGTCTGAATACTTTGACACATACAGAACTGTAAGATAATGAACATGTTTTATTTTAAAAATGAATACTTTGACAGACTATATAATTATGCATTTTTAAAACAAATGTAAAACTTATTTTAAAAACTTACATTTTATGTACATCTTATTTTACCACTTCTTAAGGTGATATCAGTTCCTCACTGAAGTTGTCCAGGAGCCTTCTGGTCACTGTGGCTCCCCTTGGTGTTTTGTTTTCTAGGCCATCGAAAGTGCGATTGGTGGTAACGCTTACCAGCACAGCAAAGTGAACCAGTGGACCACAAATGTTGTCGAACAAACTTTAAGTCAACTCACCAAGCTGGGAAAACCATTTAAATACATTGGTAATGGATGTTTGTTTCTTGTACATTTGGGGGACGGCTCTTTAACTACTGATCAGAGCTTTGTCCAGTCCAGCTAATGTGGCAGTGCGGTGCCTTACCTCAAAGGCAGTCCTGATGGGAGGAGGTCACTTGTGTAGTACCATCATCATCCAAGTTGTTTGGCTGTTACACGGCAAGCAGGATTGTGCAGGAGTCCAATCAGATGCCATCAGAACAAGTTAAGTGGTCAAGGAGGATGTGCATCTGATCTGTGAATTACCATGGTTCAAAGAACAATTTTTGACCTTATGACAGGTTTACTGGGGTAGTGAGTGCATTTTCAGCTTACATTTTCGATTTACAGTGGGTCTATTGGGACGTAACCCCACTGTAAATCATCTGAAATTTGTCAGTGCAGTGGGATGAGGCAATCTGTACCAGTAAATTTTTTAATTTTTTGAATTGGAGTCTCACTCCATTGCCCAGACTGGAGTGCAGTGGCACGCTCACAGCCATCCCAGCATCAACCTGTTGGGCTCAGGGTAATCTTTCTGCCTCAGCTATTCAAGTAGCTGGAACTATAGGTGTGCACTACCACACCCAGCACCCAGCTAATTTTTTGATTGATTGTAGAGATGAGGTCTCACCAAGTTGTCCAGGCTGTTCCCGAACCCGTAGGCTCAGGCAACCTTCTTACCTTGGCCTCCCAAGGTGCTGGAATTACAGGCTTGAGCCACTGTGCCCAGTCTGCACCTGTAATTTTTATTGTCACATCGGCCATGTCATCTATAAACATGCTAAAAGTAGGCAAAATGACATTCGGGCTGCCAAGTAGGTTTTTCTAATAAAAGTTTGTTTTAATTGAAGTGACCTGTGTAATCATGCAGAAGAATGGAGCTGGATTGCACACAGCGAGTTCCTGCTTCTGGGACAGCACTTCTGATGGTAGGCTTTCCATCGTGTGTGCCATTTGTCATGTGGGCTTTTCCTGAAAGTTTTCAAATTCCTTCTTGGCCCATGCTATTTATTTAAAAGCAAGTTTTTATGAAATATGTGCTTGGGTGCTTCATGTCTTTGAATGCATGTTTATTACAGTCAGCTGTTAAAGCTTATTTTAAAAAAATTATATTTACTTATTGATTTCTTCAGTCTGAGTCTCATTTTGTTGCCCAGGCTGGAGTGCATTGGCACGATCATGGCCATCACAGCCTTGACCTATTGGGCTCAGGTGATCCTTCTGCCTCAGTCTCTGAGTAGCTGGGATTACGGGTGCATGCCACCACACCCAGCTAATTTTTTTTTTTATTTATTGTAGTGACGAGGTCTCGCCAAGTTGCACAGGCTGGTCTTGAGCCCATGGGCTCAGTCAGTCCTCTCACTTCGGCCTCCCAAAGTGCTGGGATTACAGGTGTGAGCCACTGTACCCGGCCTTAAAACGTTTTATCAGAGCCTTTGCCAACCTTCTTTGTCTGCCATGCAGAAGTGGGCACTTGAGTATTGGCCTTGGTGTGTGACACTGGGGTATCAGGTCTCCCTGCTTTCCTTGTTTTACATGATGTCTTCCCCCCCAGGGAGCTGCACCGTGCGATGGGAGAACAAGACCATGTACTGCATCGTCAGCACTTTTGGCCTGTCCATCTGATGCTCTAGCCTGTGACTTTGCCTTTCGTTCAATGTTTTCAGTTCATCTTCTAGTCACCAACCGGGAAGTCAGTGAACACCTTTCTCGTTCTTGTTAGTATGTGTTTTGTGGCGCTCTCCAAATGTAGAGGGAAAAACCAAACAACTGCCCTGTTATAGGAACTGTACCCTGTAAGTCATGAGTGATTCACCATAGGTAGTCTGGAGCCTGTATTGCCACTTGTCTTAACTCTGAATATTTCTTTTCAACGGTGCTACACACTGAAATCTGCTAGTGTGAATCTTGCTCTACTCTGAAATGACTCAAATACACTAATTTTCCATACTTTATACTTTTGTTAGAATAAATTATTCAAATCTAAAGTCTGTTGTGTTCTTCAGAGTCTCACAAATGAGTTCTTTATATTTATTTAGTGGCTTCAGAATCTGTAAAGCTAAAAAAAGAAAAGTTGCCCTTATCCTCTCCATGATGAGGGACTCATTCACCTGGGGACAGGACTCCAACAGCTCCGCAGGGTTCTGGTTAGATTCCCCTCCAGTGTCACACCCTCATTCCGAAGTCTCTGCTTCTAGAGGTTACAAGGGGAGGTGGGCAAGCCTGAGAGCTCTCATTCACATGCTTGGCCCAAAGCTGTAACACCACAACTTTTAAGCCCATGTTCTCTGTAGCAATCACAAATTGTTCCAGTACTTTACAGCTTACAAAACTGATTCATAGTCATTCATTTTGTATCCACAACAATTTGCAGTTATTAAAAAGTCAGAAGATAGGTCTGAAGGTTGCTAGATTGGCTTAACGTCACATATCCAAGTAAGTCAGGAGGTGGGCCCAAGCCCCAGGCTGTGATCACCTTCAATGCTTCTCCCTGGGCCGGGTGAGACATGGCAGCATGAAAAAGCCCTGCTCTCACCTTTGAAGCCCCTTTATGGAAACACTCACGTCTGAAAGGCCAAACTAACTCCACACGCAAAGAGCACACAAATCAAGACACGTATAAGAATTGAATATTACAAATTTATTAACATTTACCAGAAAGGTATGTCAGGATGAAGCCATTCCAAAAACATGAGCTGCCATTAGTAAACATGTATTCACTTTTGCCTGATTGATTTCAGCGACCGTTCTGTGGTGGGGTGACTCTGTGCTCCACTGGCAGTTCCACACCTGAACACACCTCTATCTTGTCTTCTGAGCTTAAAGTTTAGTATTGTTTTAGTTTATACATATTTACAGTCTTTTTTGTAAAAAGGCAGTTTTCAATAGCAGAAAATCTTCCTGTTGTTTCATAGTATGGTGTTATAGTTACCAGCACATATCAAATGTCAAATCAAGATAAACAGCATTACAATATGTTACAAACACAATTTCCCTTTTGCCTGGGGAAAATGTGTATCTTTTTGTTCAAAAGTCTAACTTCTAAGGCAACTGGTTTCTAACCCTCAAAATATACAAATACACTTTAGTATTTTAAGTCTAGTTTTTACTAAGTGTTCTAGAAACATCCCTTTTAATTATCCCTTTGATAGAGTCTGTGTTTTTTTCTGTGAAAAGCATTCAGGAACAAGTCACCACATTGGAACCTATTTAACATAACTACCTTCAGTGAATTGTTCACAAAATACTTGAGGCTGGTGACACTTGGCTTGTAACCTGCTCATTTAGTGAGTTGGATTTACATACTATATCTAAGCTTGTATTGCAATCTGTAATTATGTACAGTAGCAACTTAGGAACCTTGAGTATATTTCCTATATCCCTTTCCCTGGCCTTTCAAATGGGGCTTAAGAGAGAGAATGGCACCACTTCACTGCTGTAATGATTTAATAATAAATCAAGCGGATCTATTATCCACACGGATAAGCTCTTCCTAGGAAAACAAATACCTCTGGTCACCTTCTAGGTTCCCCTAGAAGGGACCAGTATAAAAAAATTCCCAAAGATGATGTTATTCAAACCATTACCATGAAAGAACTGAAGTCAGCCCTTTGAATTTATAATTTAAGTTTGTAAAACTTTAATACCCTTGAAGAAAAGCAATTTTCTTGCTACCATCAAACATTTCTGGCAGACTTTAGTGTTTTAACCTAACATCCATGGCACATATTTGAAAGGCTAAATGCTATATATACTTGAAGCAAATTTTTACATGGAATAGGCAATAAGTTGATATTTATGATACATTAGGGAAGAGAAACTGAAAAACGCATGACTTAATAAAGAACCATTTTCCCTTAAGTACTTTGTAATTTTTTTGTTGCCAACTTAGTTACAAAAAGTAAATAATTCCATATTTTTCATTTCCTTGATGCCATGAAGAATCAATGTATGGAGATACTACTCATCAGCTTATAATTACACTACAGGACAAAGACGTTTTAAAAAGCTCTGATGTGTGTATGACTAAATGCCTTGAGTATTTTACATTTACTGATAAATAACAGCATTCCAAATCATGGACAATTATTTTATAATGATTAAATGATATCAATATGTTAATAAGCACAAGTAAAGTCTTCATCAATTTACATAAAATTATTTATAGTAGTCTTATTAGAAGTTGTAAAATTTGTAACAGAAACTGTTTTTAGTTTCTCTGAGTATACAGAATCAAAGTCATCACATGATTGCAAATGTAAAAATCATGTAAACTTGAATTACCCTTGCAGTAATAGTTGTCTTCACTCAAACATTCATATTTACAAGGTCTTTGAAACAAATGTGAATGGAATCCATATTAAAAGTACATTATCATTAAAGTTTAAATTAGAAAGATCTGAAGTCATAACAAATAGTCTCTCATGAACACCTCTGAGGTCCCAGCCTACCTAAGGTGGATGATAACCGGCACCTCTGAGAGGTCACCTGGGAATCAATGCATAGACAAATTGAGGGGCTGCCTGCAGAGTGGACTGTCCCCTTTCGGACCTCCATTTGCCAAGACGGCATGAGTCAGGGTGGCTCCAGTTACCATATGTGAATAGAGATGTTACGGTGCCCATCAAGGGAAAAGCAAAGGAGACATCTAACCCAGCCTTCATATTGAGTCCTTGCCTAAAAGGAACTGGGAACTCTCCAGGGCCTTCAACGATACCACATACAGCAGTGCCACAGAGCAGTTCATTCACTGACCTGACGGTTGTGTGATTCACAGAGAACAGGGAGCAACTTCCAAGCAAGTTTCCTCCTACCTAAAATGTTTTTCCATAAACCATTGTACTTTCTTTTCATCTAGTTTCTAAGTGTGAAATTAAAAAATTTTTGGCAGTAAGGAATCTATATCATTCATTTAGCCTTCATTTAAAAAAAAAAGCTCATGGGGTCTCATATTCAACAGAGTTGCAGACTGCTGTCTCGGAATGGCAGCGGTTCCCTGCCTGCCCACCCCAAGCTCAAGGAAACCCATTCATAGTCACATATGTATGTCACAGCAACAGAAGCTTCCTCCACAGGAGCTGGTAACTCATGACTTTATCTCAGACTTTCCTTACTTAACTTAGCTAGCCCCCTCAGAACTCCACAACACTGCTCTGTGCTTTGGTGGCGGTGAAGGGCTGGAATCTGGCATCCACCATTCCCCTGCTGAGTTGTCACTTAGATGTTCCACAAAATGCAATCAATGTAAATCCCTGATTACCCTGACACTCAGCCACCCAGGGCACTGGCCATGTCATGAGGAAGGACTGTTCTGAGCAGCACAGGAATACACTGCTCTTTGAGATTAAAAGGTCAAAAAGAGTAAATAAACCAGTTCCATGGGGAAAGGAAGTAGGAAGAAAGAAGAGTCATGCTGCTGTGCTGTGGGCCTAGTCGCAGGGCTGCCCATGAACTTGGAATTAGCGAATTTTTTTTTTTAAGTTCATAATTCACTTGACTAAAACAGCGGTGACTTCCTCCTCACCACTGAAAACATGCAATATTGCTCGTGTGAAATCTTTGTAAAAAGCGTTTGGGGATTTCAACTTTTTATCAGTGCCTCCCTTCCCAAATCAATGTAGCCACCCTGACAGTAAATTTGGCCCAATGTTTAAATTTGCCCTCAGTTTTGGTTTTCCCTTTAAAGATATGTAAACAAATAAGGGGATTATAAGAAAAGTCTGAACAGAAGCAGGAACTGGGAAGGTTAGAAAATGGTCACTGAAGGAAAACGTCCGGGCTCCCTTCCAGCTCACCACCTGCCGAGAGCTCAGTCGCTATCAGACTCCTCCTTGTACTTGGCCCGAATGGCTTGCCCGTTCTGCAGAGGCATTTCTTCATAGTCACTCCTGTTATGAAAGAGACCTTTGATACCACTGGGCCTTGGGCAGCTCTTATGTATTCTTTTCTTTCACACCAAAACACCATTCCAGCAGGAACTCTTTTCAAAGCTTCCCCTCTCAATTTTCTATCACCAATGGATACTGCTCACCCCCACCCAAGTTACCTGTGCCCACCAGTTCAGAGAGAACTGTGTTCCCTCAGGCCGCCCACTCTGCAGGTATTCAGCAAAAGGGAATGCGATAAGTCTAAGCCTGAAGAATATGGAACCAGAAAACCACGGAATGGCATGGCACTCCCAGGTAAATGTCCTAACACCCTCAAAATAATTTTAGAATAATAACCTGCTCACATGGCGAGCAGCCTTCTACAGAGATGGTGACTTACCCATAAATCACGTCATCATCAGAATCATTCAGCATGGAAAATGCGGGGTTGTCTTTCAGCTGGGACTCTGAAAACCAACAAAAGCATCTTTATCTCAAGCAATTTATGTTACGAGCCTTGAGGCAGGATGTCCTTTCCTGGAGAAAGGACAGGAGTCAGAAAGTCAGACTCCAGCCCCAGACTCTACCATGACCTGTGTGAACCTGAGCAAACCATCTCAGGCTGTCTGCTCATCTGTAAGATAGGGTTCACATGGCCAGCCCGGGGGGGAGGCTGTGAAGCCTGTGAAGCCGAGCAAGAAGGGAAGGGACAGGAAGGGACAGGCACGCAGGAGGAGGGACACAAAACAGGCTCAGGAGACGTGGACATGCCCTTCCCTGTCCTTGAACCTGCAGCATGCCACTTCTAAATGTCTTCATCTGTCAAAATGGGCGTAATTGTGCCTTTACCATAATAAAGTTACCATAATAAAGCCAAGGGAGGCCTATTGAGGGAGCTCTGAAAGGCTGAGCACCCAGTATAAAATGTCGGGTGGGACAGCCCAGCTTCCAGGAGTTCCCCACCTTTTCATTCCTTGGGCAAGAGGATTGTTTTGTTTTGGGTTTTTTTTTTTTAGTTGGAGTCTCACTCTGTCGCCCAGTTTCAACTTTTGATGGGTAGTCCCTTTTAAGTCAGGGACTATATTCAACACAATTCACTTCATATGGCCAACGGACACATGGCTGTTGTGGGACACACTAACAATATCAATGTGTCACTGTGCGCTGTCATGACAGAACACAGGTTCATGTACGCCGAACTGAGAGCTGAACACTCACACTTGCCTCGCCTCTCTGCCAAAAGGGAAGGCACTGGGAACCATGGTACCCACGTGAATGGAAACCTGTGAGTGGGTCCTGAATGGACACAGATCTCTGTGCCAGCTACCTGCTCACAGCCCAGATCCGGGCAGCTTACCATACAGAGCATTCTTTGATGGAGAATATACAAAGGCCAAGGTGTAGAGATAGAAGTTCAACAAGCCGTAGAAAGACAAGAACTCGGCTGGTGGCGCTAGTCAAGGGAAGGGACCAGTTCAGTCAGTGGCTCTTACTCCCTGCCGGCCACTCCTCCCAGCCACCAGCAGCCCTGTCCCATGCTGAGCACCAAGTGGTATCTGGGGGTCTATAACCCAGGCGTCAGGAAGCCATACTTCAAGCCCACAGCTAGAGGTCACAACGCCCTTCAAGGTCACAGTAAATAATAGGTGGACTGTGCCCCCTTCTGCCAGTGGGCACCAAGGTCCACAAAGCCATCTGAGGCCCCCTCTCACTGGCACTGAGGACAGGGCCAGAAGGGATAGAGTTGTACGCAAAGGGCAGGAAGGCCCTGGGGAAAAATAATGAAATAAAGAATTGGAATCCAATTATCAAACTAGTCGTTCTTAACCTTTTCTGGATTATACATCCCTTTACAAATCTGGTAAAATCTCAGTGTGAAATTCTGTCAAAAAAATGGAAAAACTGTGCATTAATTCTAAGGATGTGACAATTCCCAAGACAAGAACCCGAGATTTAAAGGATTAAAGGTTGAGGCACTCCGGCAATAGTCCTGCTCAACAGGCCCCGGCACAGTGAGAACAGAAGGATCCTTTCTAGTATTGTACGAGCCCTACACACAAGCTCAACCTGCTACAGTTGTCACGGCCTGTAGAAACTATATCTGAGGCTGGGTGTGGTGGTCCACACTTGTAATTCCAGCACTTCAGGAGGCTGAGGTGGGAAGACTGCTTGAGCCCAGGAGTTGGAGACCAGCCTGGACAACATAGCGAGACCTTGTCTCTACAAAAAAAAATAAAAAAATAAGCTGGGTGTGGTAGTGTACACCCATAGCCCCAGCTCCTCAGGAAGCTGAGACAGAAGGAACACCTGCACCCAGGAGGTCAAGGCTGGAGTGAGCCACGATTGTGCCACTGCACTCCAGCCTGGTTGACAGAGTGAGACCCCGACTCAAAACTAAACCTATATCTGGATATATCTGGGTGATGGGGAAAGATGCCTTTGGGGACAGCGGACGCTCAGATCAGCCCTTTGGCCACTCCTCAGCGCTTGGAGAGTAGCTGGCGACTCCCGACCCACCCGAGGTGTGAAATTGAGACCACACTGCAAGAACCTGCATGGAAGAATGTGGTGTGGACATGGCTCTGGAGCGCTGGCCTCCCAGGGCAGATCAGGCTCTGATACCAGGTAACCGACTTTGAGGAACTGCTTAACTCTGCTGTGTCTGAGCCTCCTGCCTCCAGAGGAGTGACAAGGCCACCCCTTCCTGGGCTGACATAGGGCCACACGAGACAGCACGAGATGCCTCTCGGCAGTGAGGCCTCTGGAGACGGGGCATGAAGCGTTGCAAACCTAATATGTGGACCCGCAAGACAAAGGCGCTCCTGCCACCCAGGACTTCCGTTAAAAGGATATAATTCTGATAATGAGTTGACAGTTCAGCTACAAAGTTGTCTTGTAATACTTGTGCTCCAAACCTTAAATAAAGGATGACAATGCTGGAAAAAAGATGGGCGGAGACAATATGTAAACATACACAAAGAAATGGCACTAGTTACAGAATTTGTTATATTCATCCCATAAATACTGACAGCCTATTAACTGTTATTTCTGCATGGACACTTCAGCGCGCGCACACGCATGTGCACACACAGAACCCTCTGCCTCTGGTTTCCAGGTCTCAGATCTAGGAGGGCTAGACCACCAGCCAGCTGCAGGGACAGGACTGATCCTGGCATAGACCCTGTCACTCTTTGCAGTTGGAGCCTTGAAGCGCCCCCTGGCACACTCCCCCCCTGCTCTCACCCCTTTCAAGACCACCTCCCTGAGGGAGGGTACTGTGCTCACTAAGTCTCATCTCCCTCCTTGGCATAGTGACTCGCACTTTGAGAAAAGGGAACATAGCAGGCCTTTGCTTCAGACTCCCACCCGCTGACGCTGACAACCAGGAATGACTTGGATAACCCAGTTCCTGGCCTGCTCCCCACACCACCCCTTCCCTGTTCGGCTCTCACCAGACAGACTGTTTAACAAAGATGTGAACGAGATCCCTTCCCCTCCCAGCTGAAAGCCCTCCAGAGTTCTCCCATCACTGAGGACAAAACCCAGATGCCTCGGGTGGCTTGGGAGTCCACTGTGACCTCCCACCGGCCCCAGTCACACCTGCCTCCAGGGACACTAGTGTCCTCTGACGCGCCACTAGTGTCACTCCCCCGGAATGCCAGCCTGCTGTTCCATGGCCTGGAGGGGCCACTGCACAGCTTTCCAGGGTTCCTCCTTAGGTATGCAGCCAAATGTCACCCAGAGACATGCCCTCCACCTACCCGCTAAAGCAGCCACTGCCCTCCTGCCCTGCACATGTCCCTTTTTGTTTTCATGATGACACACAGGCTTTGTCTGTCACCTGTCTTCCTATGCTGGAATATAAACGCCATAAGAGAAGGAACCTGCCTGCCAATGTGGGCACTCAGGAAACAAACAAGTAAATTCCCTTGAAACCACATGGAGAAAGATCACAAAAGCATGACACCTTCTAAAATAGGCGCTATAGAGGTCACCGTGAGTAGAGAGTAGTTCCCATCTGTGAACTGGGTAGTTTGAGGGTGACGGTGTGTGTGTGTGAGGGTATGTGAGAGTGAGGGTGAAAGGGTGTGTGAGAGGGTATATGTGTGAGGGTATGTGTGGAGAGTGAGAATTTGAGTATGTGTGTTTGTGAGGGTGAGTGAGAGTGAAGTTGAGAATATGTGTATGAGTGAGATTGTGTGAGAATAAAGGTGAGAGTAATAGGATGTGTGTGTGTATATGTGTGTGAGTGTAAGGGTGTGTGGTGTGTGTGGAGAGTGACAATGTGCGTGTGTGTGTGTGTGTGTGTGTGTGTGTGTGTGTTAGAGAGAGACAGTATGTATGATAAATGAAAGATACTGAGTGCATCACGCACCAAAGACGGTAAATAAGTAATGTCCATGACACACATGCACTCCTATTCTCCATGAATTTAGATGCTGAATGAAATTCAAGCTCATGTGTAAGTCCAAGCTGAGCTCACACACTCAGGGGTGAAGGACTTGGATGCCTACAGGAGTCCTCGCCCTCCCCTAGGCGGGACCCCAGAGCCAACCTGGGAAGCGTGGCCAAGGCCCAGCTTCCCAAAGGCCCCATGTGGTTCCCATCAAGGCGAAGGGATGGCAGCCACTTACTTGTCATCCAACTAACCAAAAAAGAAATGTGGAAAATTACATTTTGTTCTCTCTGAATTTTGATTTTAGGAGAAAGAGACAAACTAGAAACAACCAAATAATTATCCGGAATTTATTTAAAAAAAAAAAAACAAAACAACTTCCTGGGTCCATTCAGTTCCTCTTCCAACCAGCTGGTGCCAGCAACAGTCCCCAGAGGGGCCTGGGCTGTCTCTGGGAAGACCTCTGCATGGCCTTCCTCCCAGCAACAGAATCGAGCCCTCCTCGCCCCACACCTCCCCCATGGCGCCAGTGGAGTGGGCTACAGTAACACTGGCTGCACTAACTCAGGCTTAGAGTCCCATCCTGGGATCAACAAGAGGATCCCAAAGTCCCAAGGCCCTCGGGTACACCTTGCAGTGATCGGATTCTCCAACATGGTGACTGTGCACAACACATGGGAGGTGTCACAACAAGTAGGGAACCCCCCAGTGCAGGCCAAGTGCTCTTGGTAATGTGCTCCACTCCCTGGGACATTCACAACAAAATCACGTGCTCACAGGGCCAAGGCAGGTGCTCAGTACCCCTGGGTGGGAGGCCCTCTGAGTTAATGAACGTGATGGGCTAGAAGGCCCTGGAATCCACTGCACTAAAGGAGAGAACAGATATTCATGACAGTAAAATAAAAATTCAGTATTGCTTCTTTCAAGAAATATAAGTCTTCTTACCTAATGACAAGCACCACAAAAGTCAACGCAGTCAAAAATTTTAACCTGAGATCTGAAAAATAAAGAAAATTCTTAAGCAACCTGGAAGCAAATTCCTTTCTCCTCTCAGAGATCTTGCAAATAAAAATGAAGCCAAGCTCTCTGGGCAGCCCCTCCTCCCTCTGCTCTCAGAGCCTGTTTCACCTGCAGCCGAGGAGGAATGTCGCCCCCCACCCCAAGGCCAGGGTGGTGTCCACGGAGGCCACGGCCACCATCCTTCAGCTGGGACAGAGCAGAGAAAGGATCCCGTGAGGTCAGGCAACTCGCCCCAACTCAGGACCAAGAGAACAGTCTAGTCAGCTCCTCTGTAAGTGAGGTCCCGGGAGACCCAGGCCGCTCTGCTAGCCCCTTGCTGCTGACGGCCCTGGTACCAATTTAGGCCTGTCATGGCTCCCAGAGACCAAATGCACTGGTCCCCAGCCTTGGCCCCTCAGGGAGGACTCCTGGCTTAGGAGACTCCAGTCATTCTTCCACCGCAGCAAAGTCCCTCCCAAGCCTCCCAAAATGACAATTCCAGAAGGGGTGCTTACCCACATAAGGCATGTGACGGAGCTCAGAACACGCCCGCACTATCAAGAACAAAAGGTACAAAATGTACACAGCTGCCACCACCATGAAGAAGATCTTCATTCCCTGGAAATGAGCATGGGGGCACTTTAGGAACAGGCCCTTGCCACCACAGGCAGAAAAATCAAACATTTTCAGAAGGACTTCAGCCCTGAAGTCCTCTCTAGGAAGCAAACAATGGCTTCCATCTGACTGCTCTCAGTCCCTTGCAGGGAGCACAGGCTGTTCACCTAAGATGACACCCCCGGCCCTTGTGAATCAGATGAGCAAGAGTGCAAACTTCTCCACATGACACACTCTCAGCATGGGGTCTGGAGCTCAGCAGCTGCCCATAGACTGTGATGGCCACTATCTACCTCTCCCCAGTTTTCTTATCTTTGAAATGAAGGGGCTGAATTAGATGTTCTAGAAGACCTCAGGTCTGAAGGTACACAATTCTGTGGCTTTGTTCCAGGAAACCCAAACCTTCTTCTGAAGACAGCTGTGATGGGAGGCCAGGCCACCAGGCTGTAACAAGGCTTAGGCTGGCGGCAACAATGCCCACTACTCCCAGAGCCCGCGGGTGGAGGTCTACAGCACCTCTCCATAAGGCTCCTGCTCCGTTCTGTCCTCCCAGCCCCTTCCTGTCCTCTCAGTGCCAGAATTCCCCTTAAGGCCAAGGCACAGAACCCTGGACTGCACATCAGGGTCTGGGTTCTGTTGCTGCCTTGAAAGAACCTGACTTTAGTCTAGGCCTTCTTTTCTCATCTATAAAATAAAGGGATTGGGCTAGATCAGCGTTTTCAGCACCCAGATAGTCTCTGCTGTCCTGTGTCTCCTTCAGGAGCAGAAAAAGGTCATGGTGCCTGTTCTGAGCCTCATGGCTGGCTCTCCTGATACCTGACTGGAAAGGGAGCAGCCACCAAAGAGAATGCAGGGTCGGGGCTCAGGCTGCATCCTTCTAGGGGCCGCCCCTGTGTCAGCCACAAACCAAAGACCAGAAGTGAAAACATCATTTTACAGATGTTTTCTTCTTTTCCATATTACTCATACATTTCTTCCTAAATACTCCACCCTTGAACTTTCTGTATTCTTTCCCAAATAGTCAGTCAGCAAGCTCATGTCAACAGCCCAATTTAAGTTATAAGATACAGTAATTTTATAAAACAGCATAAAAAAAAATCCTGAGGCTTCATTCATAATCCATACCTGAAAATTTCCGGTGTCAACTCGATACTGGTACATTGGATCATGTAATTCATTAACCCTAAAAATGGACATTAAAAACACATCATAGATTAATAACTTCCTTTGCTTTTTATTTTACATTTTTTCTTATTTGACCTTTTATTTTTTCTATTTATTAACAAAAACCACTTGCTACCAACAGTGAAGGATTTTTAAAAAGTAATCCTATATTTATGAGACATCTTGAATTTCATATTCCACACTGAAAAAATGTACAACACTACTAACTGTCCACGTTCACTAGTACTGTCAAGTTGCAGTATTTTGTAATTATATGAATCCCTACTAATTTGCAGTACTCGTTTCCCCGTCACCTTTTTAATGGCACACATGGGCACTATGAAATAGATGAGTACACAAAAAAATACAAGTAAATATAAACTTCCACTTTCAAAATGAAAATGGCTTGCTAAGATGACAGGGAATCAGGCAGGGAACTGGAGCAGATGGCAGAGACGTCCTATCGCCACTTGGGTCATTGTGGCGGGTAAGCTGGGTTCCTAGTCACCCTAGAAAGGGAACTGTTCCATGGTGAGTCCTATCTGGTGAACCAGGCTGCTCTCGTGCTAGGCTCTGGCTGTGGTACTAACTTACAGGACAGAAACACTAATGAAGAACGATGCTGGGAGCTGACATAAGGACTTAGAAGTGTGAAGATGCAGCAGAAGAGGAAATCAAGGCATCTGGTGGAAGCAGAGAGCCGGGAGCCTACCTGGGCAGCATTCCTATGGTGCAGTCTGGTTTCTCTAAAGAAAGAGGCACCGACGTAGTCGGTCGAAATCGAAATTGACAACCACACGGTCTTTTTCATTCTCCATCTAAGATTGCTGGAACCGAAGATTCCCAACAAGCCACTCAGCAAGAAAGAACTCCTCAGCTCAGGTCTTACAACCAACAGCCCTTATCTGCAGTTTTGCTTTCCACAGTTTCAGTTACCCGTGGTCAATTGCAGTCAGAAAACATTAAATGGAAAATTCTAGCAGTAAGCGTTTCATAGTTTTAAATTGTATGCTTTTCTGAGTAGTGTGACAAAAATCCACTGTTCTGCCAGGGACGTGTAGCATCCCTGTGTGTCCACACTGCAGATGCCACCCGCCCATTAGTCACCGATGTCGTCTGCTCCTGACTTCTATTGACAAGGCCATGACTGGAAGACCCAGGATCACCCTAAGCAGATGAACCTCCTTCTGACATGTCATTGGAAGGTCAGCAGTAACCTGATGCTATGGAACGCTGTCTACACCAACCCCCTCGCTCTGTCTCATCATGTAGGGACTTCATCACCTCACATCCTCACAAGAAGGGAGTGAGACAGTGTACACGATATTTTCAGAGAGACAGCACATTCATATGACTCTTACGACAGTATGTAGTTACAGTTTTTCTATTTTGTTGTCAGTTACTGCTGCTAATCTCTAACAGTGACTAATGTGTAAATTAAATGTTTTCGCAGATATGCATGTACAGGGAAAAGCATAGTATAGGTGTATTGAGGACACACATACAGGTACACACAGGGTTGGGTACTATCTGAGATTTCAGGCATCCACTTGGAGTCTTGCAATACCTCCCCTGAAGATAAGAGGGGTCTGCTGTACTACCAAGTTTGAAACACTGAGAGATGATTCCTTTTTGGTGAGTTTACAAAATACAGTTAGACTCTGGGGCTTTCCACCTTTGTCAAATGCTTTCATGACTGGAGTTTCATACATAATAGAATTACTCACGTCTGCCATATTCCTAGCGTGACAGAAGCCAACCACAACAGTCCAACAATGAAGAATTTAGGCAAATAAAAGGTTAAACACTTCCTTTCTCCCTAAAAGCAAAAGAGAGTAAGAAATAAAGAAAACCAAGCTAGTAACTCTACCAAGATCACAGACACCCAAATCATTTCTACACAACACACACTCTTCCATTGAGAAAGGGCCTGGCAACAGGTTTTCCCAGGGAAATTCACCTTTAAGGACTACTGCCATCAGCGTTGGAAGGGAGACCAGGTCTCCTATATCCCTGGGCCATGGCTCACCTGGACGCGGATCCCGTGGTACACACACAGCCAGAAGAGCAGCAGAGCACACAGGAACAGAGACTGAAAGAGGTCATCCAGCATCCCGGGGAGCCAGCTGTTCACCAGGAAGGAGAGAGGGAAGAATGGGTCTGGAACACAAAGAGGGCAGAGAGGGAGTGAAGAACATGGGATCTCCAGCAGGGAGACCCCAGCCTCTGTGAGGTCAGAACTCATGGTCAGCTTGTCCCTGGTTGGAGCTGAAGGAAAGGTAGTGAGCCAAAGGCTATTTTGTTTCTCAAAACACCTGAACGTCAACGAGCAGATTGTCCCACTGATGGCAACAGAGCACCGTATGCCCCTGCCATCAGCTCCTCCTGCAGGCCCGGGAGATCTGAGTACTGCTTTTGGAGCAGGGAAAGAGGAAGAGCCAGCCGCGCCTGGCCACCTCAGCCAAGTTCCAGGACTGCTGTGTCTGTAGCACGGCCAAGTTTTAACTACCCAACAGCCGCCTGTTTGTTAGAGATGCAGGCATCTGCCCCGGCTTGGTGAAACATGGCTCCTGGGGCACTGTTACATGCTCCTTCTGGGGCTCCCCACGGGCTCTTCTGAGGACTCTGGGCCTGGGCCACCTCCAAGATGCCTTCTAGCTTTACATTTTAAAGGGGAATGCTCCGGAAGAAAGTGGCACCTACCATTGTAAAGCAGCAGCAGCGGCAGCAGCACAGACATCCACCTCTGTTCGATGCCCCAGTCTCGCATGGAGAACTTCCGGAGCGAATGTGCAAACAGGCACTGCAAACCAAGGGCCTTGGTTACCGCCTTGCCTGTGTCTCCCTCCACACCGGGCAGTCTTCCCACCCAACAGTCGGGGGCCCCGCTGGGATCCTTGGGGCTATGCCCTGGATGAATTGTCCTCTGTGGTCCCGGAGGCCATCAGTGACAACCCAGACAAGACGGCTGCCTGTTGCAGAGCAGCCACAGGGAAGATGGGTCCCAGGCTCTCCTCATGGGGGCAGGAGGAGAGGCCATAAGCCCCCTGCAAAGGGAAAGGGCACCCACCCTCTCACCTCCACCTGGGCTACTTCCATCGGGCCTGTCCTCCAGGCAGCCTGCACACGGGAGGACCCACCGGGCACAGGCCACATCTGCAGGTGTCACAGGAGCCACATGTTCCCACAGTGTAGTTCTCACACGGCGCCAACTACTAAGGAGGCGCCACCAGAACGTGGCTCATCAACTCAGTCAGAGGATGAGCATGTTGTCAAACACCCCCGGAGGAAGGTGTGTTATGCTCACAGGAGAAGTTCCCTTAAACTGCTTTAAGACATTCTACCTCTTATGATTTCTGTAGGCCCGGGTTTTGTTTGTTTGTTTTTCTGTTATCTGACATAAGCCAGGAATTTTCTAGGCAATCTGGATTTCTGGGCTCATGGGCCATTTTCCCCAGTCCAAGTTATCTGATAAGGTTCAGGCCTCTTTTTAAGGAACACCCTCAGGTCCTTGAGTACCAGCTCTTTGGGCCCCAGAGTGTGGCAGCACAATCGCAGGCACCAGAGTCTCCAAGAACAAGAATTTCTGCCTGGACACAAACACCAGCTTTCTGCCTCCACTGAGCCTGGGCTCCCTGAGGCCCTGGGCTTGTCCCAAGTGCTGCAACCTCCAGCTCACTGCGCAGCCAGTGCCCATGCCCGCCCTCCAGCAGAGCGTCCTCGACTGTCTAGCACACACTCGTGTCCTGTGTAAGGTTAGTCTGCAAAGTACCGAGTACTTTTTGGGTGACAAATGAAGTGGCCACATCTCCTAAATGTCATACCCTCCCTGCCAGCATTGGAACAAGCAGCTGATGGGGGCAGAATGCCACCCTTCAGACAGCAGTAAGCCACTAAAGGAAGCACCCTCTTGTCATTCCAGTTATCAATTCTCATCTTCAGACTGAATCTCTGGGGGCTTCCCAAGGTTGCTGTTGGCTTGAGGACACAACCTCAGCTCCCAAATGAACCCAAAGCCTGCATTTCCAAAATGGACTTCTCTTTGGCCTTCTTCCTGAAAAAGCCCAAAGACTGAAAGGTACGGTATATTATAATCTTCCAAATATAAAAACCCAAAAGTGTGCTGTATTTGCACCCAAAGAAAGTCATTCAGATAAGGCAGAATTCCCTCCATACAGGTTAAATGGCATTTTCAATGTCTAATGATAAAAATTCACTTAAGTCAGTGATGTGTGGCCAGGCTCAGTGGCTCAGCCTATAATCCCAGCACTTTGGGAGGTCGAGGCAAGTAGATTGCCTGAGCCTGCAGGTTCGAGACCAACCCGGGCAACTTGCCAAGACCTTGTCTCTACAATAAATAAAAAAATTAGCCAGGTGTGGTAGTACATGCCTGTAGTTCTGGCTACTTGGAAGGCTGAGGTGGAAGGATCGCTGGAGCCCAGGAGGTTGATGCTGGGGTGGCCATAAGTGTGCCACTGCACACTCCAGCCTGGGTGAGGGAGGGAGACTAACTCAAAAAAAAAAAAGGTCAGTGATGTGTAATGATGATCACACCACATGGGAATCCTCACTGATGCTCTCAGCAGACACACTGAATGTTCAGCACTCTCACGACAGCCCACCGGAGGACCTGTCAACTCAGAGAGACTCAGAATCTGGCCAGATCTTCATGTGACCTGCCCTCTGGAGATCAAACAGCATGAACTAGCTCAGTCCTGGAGGGGACTTCCGTCATAGTATGTCAGACAAGCAGTACTCACGGTGACAACGAAGGTGAGCACCACAAAGACGAATCGGAACCAAATTTCCAACTGGGAAAACGCAGGGTCATATGTCTTCCACTGAAACAGAAAGCAGGGGAAATGGTCTGAATAAAATATATGCCTCTAGAGGAAATCCACCAGGTTACTAACAACAGTTATCTCAGGACATGAGACCAATTTTTTTTTCTGTTTTTTTTCCCTTTTCATTTTTTTCATTTTATTTTAAGGATGTGGGATACAATTCAGGGTTAGGTATACAAATGTTCAATATGCAGGTTCCCTTGCTGATGAGGTGTGCCCCCGCCTCCCCAGGCAGATTCCCACTACTGCCAATCCCACTCCCCCCCCCCGGGCAGTTTCCCACTATTGCCAATCGTTTTCTTATAGTATTATGATAACTGCTCAAGGTCCGCTTATGAGTGAGAACATGTGATACTCATTTCTTTGTTTCTGTGAAAGATCACTCAGTATTATAGACTCTAAGTCCATCCAGGTTGCTGTGAAGTTCATGATTTTGTTCTTCTTTATAGCTGCATAATATTCCATTGTGTATATGTCCCACATTTTTTTTTTTAGCCAGTCCTCTTTTAATGGGCAGCACGGTTGGTTCCGTGTTCTCGCTACTGTGAACAATGCTTGATAAACATATGTGTGCAGGTATCTTTTTTTATAGAGTGATTTGAGTTCTTCCAGGTATAGTTCCAGTAGGGGGATTTCGGGGTTGTACGGAAGGTCGAGTTTTAGAACTTTTGGAATTGCCACACTGTTTTCCACAGAGGCTGTACTAGTTTACACTCCCACCAACAGTGTGACTAGTGAGATCAATGAATGAGACTAACTTTAAAAGTTATTTTTCGTTATGCTTTCCTACAGCTTCCAAAATATTAATACTCTGTACAGTTTACTTTTATATTAAGGACAAAGACATTAAAAATCAGAATTACCAAGAGCTGAAAATAGTTTTAAATGGTGGCCGGGCTCAGTGGCTCAGCCTGTAACCCCAGCATTTTGGGAGGCTGAGGCGAGTGGATTGCCTGAGCCCACAGATTCAAGACCAGCCCAGGCAACTTGGCAAGACCTCATCTCCACAATAAATAAATAAAATAAATAGCCGGGTATGGTAGCATGTGCCTATAGTTTTGGCTGCTTGGAAAGCTGAGGGGGAAGGATCCCTGGAACTAACAGGTCAACGCTGGGGTGGCTGTGAACATGCCACTGCACTCCAGTCTGGGCAATGAAGTGAGACTCCAACTCAAAAAAAAAAATAAATAAAAAGATATTATGTTACTGATGAATCTGGCAGACAAATGATCCTAAAATTATAGCAAGAGCATTTGAATTTTAAATCACATCAAAAAATCAACCTTGTCAATCCTTTATTAGAAAAAGTCACACTTTCCATCAAAAGAAAGTTTTTAAATATGCAGAAATATGAGTAGAACATTCTTAAAAAGTTTAAGCAAAAACATATAAATATGAATCTGAAACCAGAAAAGTAAACTAGTCCATCTTCAAGCTGACCAAGCAGTCCTGGGTGTAAAGCCGAGGATACAGGCACTGCTGCTGACACAGGGCAGAGGCAGGCCACCCTCCAGTCCTGGTCATCAGTCAGACTCCTACCCAGACCCCAGAGCCCTGTACTGCACTGGGCCAGGGGCCTTATCATTTTGATGCACTGAATCAAATGTATCTGATTAATTTTAAAAATCTACTTCAGAATAGATTTCAGGTACTAGATTATCCTAAAACAGTGAAACACACACACACACAAGAACAGTCTGAGACACTGGACCGAGGAGGCAATGAAGGACAGTCATCTCTGACTGACAGGAAACCACAAGGGGTGCCCTCTGGTGGGCCCAAATCATGGAGGAGAACTAGATTGTCTCCATGATTTGTGAACATACAGCTGGAAGCCAGGAAGTCACAGGTGACTCATATCCACAGGGCACAGTACTGAAGAGGTATAGAGACAGAACACCGACACCCACCAAAGCTATCCTCCTATATCTCCATCTGAAAACTGACCAGTGTGCAAGTATAAGTGACCCACAGGGCTAGTGCTGGTGTCTGTTTCCACAAAAAAGAAAACACTCGTAACCAAAGGGTTTTAGATAGTGTATGCCCAAACACTTTTGCCTCAGTGGTGAGAAAAATTAGCCTTAGGTTTAATGTTGCTTTGGTCACACCCAGCAAAGTCAAAAAACAAGACCTAAAGAGATCAAACCGATTCTAAGTAACTTAACAACATCCCAGAACAACACTCAAGGATATTTACAAGAATACAAAACCTAATAATCAACAATGTCTGGCACTGAACCAAAATTACAAGACACACAAAAAAGCAAGAAAATATGAACCATAATGAGGAAAAAACTAACCAATCAAAACTAGTATTAGTAGATAAGGACATCAGGAAGCTAGATCAAATATTTAAATGTTAAATAGACTTGGAAGATGATTAACAACAGACTAGACACTATAGAGTTTGATGAACATGACTCAAAAAAATGAACACAACGTCAGGAAGCTGAACTACAAGTGGCCTAACAAACACATATTTGGAGTCTTGGAATTTGGAGGGTAGGGGCGGCAGGAGCACAGAAAAAATGTCTGAAGAAATAATGGTCAAAATTTTTCCGATTTGATGAAAACTATCAACTCACAAATCCATGAACCCCAGGCACAAGAAACAAGAAGAAAAGCACAGCAGGGAATATCATGACTGAATGTCTAAATAAGGCAAAGAGAAAAATCTTAAAGAAGGTGAGAAGGAAGGAGCATTATTACAGACGACTAAGATAAGGACAAAAATAAAGATAGCAGATTTCTTGTCAGAAAAATGCAAGCCAGTGATCAACATTCTCAAAGTATGTAAATTAAAACCACAATGTTACACTGCTATACACCTATTAGAATGGCCAAAACGTAAAAGACTGACCATATCGGCCACTGATGAGAATAGGAAGTGACTGGAACTCTCATACACTCTGGTGGCAATATAAAATAACACACCACTTGGCAAAACAGTTTGTCAATTTCTTAACTGACATTTCCAGTATTTATCCAAGAGAAATGAATGCATATGTCCATACAAAGGTTTATGACACAGATGTTCCCAGTCACTTCCTAACAGCCCCAGTCTAGAAGTCATCCAGATGTCCATCCACGGGTGAATGATAAGCAATTTTTGCTATATTTATACAGTGGAGTATCAGTCAGTGACAAGAAGGAATGAACTATGTATGGATAAACCCAACATCATCGGTCCACCTCAAAACAATTGTGCTAAGTGAAAGAATTCAAACATACTGGATGAACACATACTGTATTATTCCATCTTGTTAACTTCTAAAAAACGCAAATGAGCCTGCAGTGGAAGCAGACCAGTGGTTACTCAGAGATGAGAAGGAATGGGAGGAAGTGGCACGAGGACACGTCTGGGGTGGCGGGTGGTGAGGGACAAGTTTACGATTTTGATTATGGGGATGGTCTCCCAGGTATGACATGTCAAAATGGGCCAAATTTTATATTTTAAGTAGGTACATGTCACTGTATGGCAACCATACCTCAATACAGCTGTCAAACAAAATCCAGCGGCTAACAGTTGAGGGCAATGGGAAAACAGAGATCATAGCAATGAACAGTTTATGAATTTTGAAGTCAGAGACTCAGGTTCAAATCCAGCTCTTCCAACTCCTACTTAGGCAAACTACTTAATCTCACTGAACCTCAGATTTTTCCTCCATAAAACAGGGATGCTATTACCTACTACAGAATTATCATTACCTTTAAATGAGATGAATATAAAAAGTTAAGCACAGTGCCTAGCAAATAGCAAAAGCTCAGAAGACAGCTGCTATTATAAATCCAAAACATAACTATTATGATATGTTATAATGTTTACATTTCATAATTGTATTATATCATTTGCAGAATGATCATAGTAGTGATTTGAGCACTGTAGGAGGAGTGCTGATGTGAACATAACATTCAAATAGAAAAAAGCATAATATAGGTCTCAGTTGAAAAAACAGACTCTAAGGCACAATCAAGAAGAGAAAAAAGAATTGTTCTCATCAGAAAAAAGCACAAATTATGTTTAAAGTAACAGTGACAAAAGTTTTGTTTGTTTTTTTTTAACCATCAAGGGACCATAACCCTTAAGAAAGAAAATAACTATGGTCTCCCCTGGAGAACCGGAATTTTGACTTCTGTCAGAGAAATGGAAAACAATCAACTCGATCTTGTTAAAAATTAATGCTTGATTCCATAAAAACAGCTACAACGAAAACATGTATTTTAGTTCTAAAATATGCATTAACAGGAGGCAGGGGAGCAAATTGAGGAGTCAAAGAAGAGGATGCTCTATTCTGCCTTCCAACTGGGACCCTGCGCCAAGCCTGACACATGGGAGGCATGCAAGCCTTCGTTCCATTCAAGCCAGTTACCCTTTCCTCTTGCCTTCATGCCTGTCCTTCCTGACTCAGGGGAGCCACATCTACACACTCCATCCCCTTGGGAGGTTGCCTCTGTCAGAGGCGGCCAAACCAATCAGATCACCAGGTACTCCTCGGAGGCCAACCCTGCCTGGCAGCTCAATCTGGCATGAATCTGTGCCAAGGGTTTGAAAGGCCTTTGTCTTTCCCCTCCAGTTAGCCCGAGAAGGACGCAGGAAGCTCAGAACAGGGTCCTGGCACCTCTGTGGCACACGCTGGCCTCTGGTAGTGTTGGATTGGAGTCAGGGCTGGAAGGAAGAAGGTTCAAAGGGAACAAGCAGTCATTCAGTGTCTGAGCTGGCGCCAATGAGGACAGCGGCCATGGACATTTCTAAAGTCACTGTATGAACCCAATTCTACAGAATAAGGTTTGGGGTTTTTATTTTGTGTTTATTTTAAAGCCCAAAATATATTTTTGAAGTTAGTAAGTAAAATTAGTAAAATGAAATAGAGTAAGGTTCCGGAAAAAAAGGACACTTGCTTTGAAATTTTAAGTGCTGTTACTCCAGGCATGAGCTTTCATGCCAAGGTCCCTTTGGTATCAAAGAGCCTTCTTTGTCCTTTCAGAGACTGGGTTCA